ACAGATTTAAAGGCTGAAAAATACAATTATCTTCCCAATAACTGGGAACCAAACTCTCAGATATTTTGCAGTAACCCAATCAAAACTTGCAGCCTCCTTCTGCTTGTATATTGATCAGCTGATAATAGTAGGTAGTGTTTTCAAGTTACTTAGTCCAGAAAACCTGCTCTGATTTAAATTCTCAAGCTATCTTCCTTTTTCCATGTATTAAAAAAACATGAATCTCTGTACATGAATGCCGTTTGACAACTTTTCATGACAAAAAGTCCAAGTATTCCATATAGTAAGTATCTGAAGGATTTCAGTATTAGACTTCTACATGCCAGTACATAAGAGCTATCCAGATGCACCTAAACTTCGTTATATAGTCCTTCTTTAAGAGACTTAGGGCATCCTACATGGCTTCTTGTTGCCACCCACAAAGACAGTGTATGTTCACAGAATCACAGAATCCCAAGGGTTGGAAGGGACCTCAAAAGATCATCTAGTCCAACCCCCCTGCAAGAGCAGGGTAACCTAGAGTACATCACACAGAAACTTGTCCAGGCGGACCTTGAATATCTCCAATGTAGGAGACTCCACAACCACCCTGGGCAAGACACCATATCCTATCTGCCAGTCTTCAGCACCTGAATTGTCTAACCCCTAGTTATCTGAATTCCTGAAGTCCTTATTTCAATCTTACTCAATCAAAATCCTCACTACTTCCAATGACAGTAATCTTGCAGTAGCATTGAACAACTCTTCTGCCAACATACCTTGATCTATACAGCAGAGAAAAGAAGAACTTACTTGCCTAAGTGTGCAAATTAGTCTTTGTAACACATCTTGAAAGTCCAGTATGTCAAACATTGTGGCCTTCCCTTTCTACACTTCACCTCCACTTAAGAGTATTTTTGCTGTAGTGTTTCCTTCACTGTAGTGTTTCATTCACTGCAGTGTTTCCTCATTGTAACTCACTCCTGCCTCAGGAATTCTTTGCTCTTTAAACCAGAAGAGAGATTCTGCTGGAGCATCTCTGCTCTGGAGCCATGCTGAGAGAGCTGGGTTTGTTCAGCGTGGAGAGGAGAGTTACCTTTTGTCCTATCACTACAGTTCCTGATGAAGAGGCCCTCTCTGGCATAGGAAAAAGGCTGCAAATTCCTCTTCAGGTTAACATTGTCCTACTGGTCCATTTTTAAAATAAAAGCAAATTTACTGTCATTTCTTATATAGTTTTCTGCTGTTAAGACTCACATTTGCAAAGTGAAAGTGCCCCCACTGACACATATATAGGAAGTTGAAAGTTGTTGTTTTGCCTAAATGTGGTTAATGAAAAAAAAAAGGAGAGAACTACTGTCAAACGGACTGTGAACTAAACATGTTGCTCAGCCTTCACTGGGGAATTCAATTAGTCTAATAACAACCCAGAATACAGATTTTGCATACCACCTGGGAGCAGAGACATGGTCGGCCACTTTCCAACTTCCTCTGCTTGACAGCTTGCTTGGCACAGGGGCATCAAAACAACTGCACTGAGGCTATGAAGTATATATCCAAGGTTCAGTTTGCTTAGAGATGGGGCTGACCACCACCCTTAGGCTTTAAGGCATTGCCACGTAGTGTGAGGTATATGAGATCAAACACAGCTAACAGCAGGAATGGACTTAATTTAATCCCAGTGGTCAAATGCCCCAGACCATGGAAAAAAATATGTATCTAAACTTGGGTTTGGGTAAGAATTTTATTCATGGCAGCATTTTTCTATGCAGCTGATTGATCCAGGATCCCATATTTTTAGAAATGGGAGAGGACTAATTAAAAATCTAGATGAAAAATTTGAAGCTTGGACAATTCTTTTTTCCTTTTTGGTAAAAGGTCAAATAAAATGTTTTATTCTCCAGGGAATTTCCCAGTCTTCCTCTGAGTTTAGAAAAACAAGCAGATGCTGCTTTCTAATTTTGGATATTATAGTTCTCTCCACCAGATTTTGAACACTCTTCCTAAGATTTAAAAGAGTCTCTCACCCTGTATGGCAACTGGGGATTTGATTTATTTCCATGAGATTTTCATCCAAAGTTGTTCTAGAAAGTGTTTAGATCTGAAGAGACCACACATTGAACACATCTACATAACTTTGTGTCATAGATTCCTTGGTAAATCAAACTCTTCTGAGGCTTCTTCCCTGTGAGGGTGAGGCACTGGCACAAGTTGCCCAGATAAGATGTGGCTGCCCCATCCCTGGCAGTGTTCAAGGCCAGGTTGGACAGGACATGGAGCAACCTGCTCTCGTGGAAGGTGTCCTTGTGTGTTGTAGGGCATTGGAACTGGATGAGCTTTAAGGTCCCTTCCAACCCAAACCAGACTGGGATTATAAGATTCAATGATTCTTCAAATCCACAGTCAAGAAATCTTTGAGTCTTAAGATTTTTCTCTGGACTTAATAAAACATAGCAAATACCTCAAAGCAAGCACCAGTTACCTGTTCTATTATCATCTTGTTTTTATACTCAAAGGTAAAAGAACAAGCTAACAAAACTAAATATTAACTGGGCATATGCATAAGGGAGTTCAGTGATTCTAAAACCAGCATATATGAATGTATTAAAATAAATGACTAATGAAATTTTTCCTCTAACCAACATGTTTGCTTTGGATTCGCACAAGAGGTGGTTTTGTTTTTTTTTTTTCTTTTTTTACAAATGCTGAAAACTTCTGCAAAACTTTACAGTGAGCATGACAGTTTCATTTCTGGACCTGGGCTCTAATCACTAAAATACATTCCAATGGGTTCACCAAGCCTTTCATCTATCTATTAGTTTTGTTAATATTACCCTCTTGACAAAAAAAAAAATACAAACACAAAACCCAAACCTACTTTGGATGCTCTAAGTAGGAAAAGTAAGAGACTTACAGAATCTTAAACTAGCCAATCCATTAAATCTATCCATCCATTACAGAATCAATAAAAATGGTTTAAAAATTTCCAGTTATGGAATAAGTGCTTAGATACTTTTTAAATATTACACATTTAAGATATATAGGCCCTGTTTGTTAGAGTATATATAGGTTTTAAAAGCTGAGCTCAGAGTTTTTGAATTACACAGAGGTATGTTTATCTAGGTCCCATCAGATATCACAGAAGTGAGGTAAAAGCCTTACTCTGGGATTTACTTGTCAATTAGCCTACGAATTCTCATTCTGTCACAGCATCAAGCACAGTTTTAAAAATAGAATCATTAGGGGGTTTCAGGAATACTAAAATTAGGAAGATTAAATTCCTATATCAAAGATAAAATTTTATGATGCAACTAATTTATAAGGTATCTGTGTGCTATTTAAGCCATACACATATCACTAAATCAACTACACAGAATTTAGAAAGACCTTATTTTGACTGCAAATCTTGTTCTAGTTGAGCTAAGACAACATCTTTTCAAATAGAACAAGGAAGAATAAGAGTTAGCCAAAGATAGTTATCACACATTCAGACATAAAAAGACAACATTCTAAAAATGCAATTTTCTTGATTAGGATATTAGAAATCCTTAAAAAGCCAGTGGAAGTCAGGAATGCAAAAATTCAGTAATACTGTTATTTACAACAACAGAACTATTCCGCTAGCAGAAGACCCTAAGGTCTAATAAACTGAGAATGTGATATTGTATAAAGTATTTTGCACTGCTCTGATGCTAAAATGCCTCATGCTTTAAGTGGAATTGCATGGGTCATTAGTTCATAATGCAAACCAGCACCTTGTGGTATTTTTTAAGGAAAATAAAGGTGGGAGGAAAACAAGCTGAGCTGTTTATACCAGCATAGGCAACTGCATTTCTAAGTATTTGATTCAGCTGAAGCTCTAGCTTTTATGCAGTTTTAGTGTTAGATGCTGTAGTGACAATGAAAGTGACTGAAATACACGCTAGGGCTTTTTGCAAGTAGCATCATGATATGCAGCACACATCTAAGATAGGAGCTATCTCCAGTATATCCATCATACATAAAGAAGACCAGAACCTAATTTTCAGTCCTCTTGCCTCATCCCCCAGTGTCTCTTTTCTCTTCTATTTTTTACTGGGAGGAGAGACAAAAGGTTGCCACAAGATTATTTCAATGGCAGCTTCAACTCCCCCAGCTGGTTTTCTCCTCAAGGCCTGTGACTTGGTTCTGCCTGAAGGACAGGACAGATTTCTGAGTGCCAATCACTGGAGCATGCCACATGCTGTAAGTGAAAAATACAGTGCTACTGCAGTAGCATAAGGACATCATTTTTAATGCAAAGCTGTGGTAAAGAGAATTGTAAGTGAGTTGTATGTAGCTAGCATTTATTTTACGGCACCTGACTTAACATGAACAAAAGAAATGAACCTGAGCTACAGAGTTTGGACCCAGCTCTAAACTGCCTGTAATTCAGCAATGCTCAGATCAGTGTTATGCCCCACCTCTTATTTCATCTGCAGAGCATGAAACCTTTTCAGACTGATCATCCTAATCTGATGTCCTTATGTGCCTTCATCCGAGTTATCTGCTAGCTTGGCACACACAACAGCACAGAGTAGCATGCTAGTCTTAGTAAACCTGTGAAAGTATCCAAATTGCACAGCCCTTATCTTAGGCCATCTGATACTTTTAAGGACTTCCCTTAGACTCTTCTTCTTTTATGGAAACTTCTCTATCAAAACAATGCAGAACATACTTAGGAAAAGCCTATGCATCCAAATAGTCCAAGAAAACCATGGTTCACCACCCGTAGAGACCTACCTTAGCAGTTTGTGAACCAAGCTAAGGAAAGTTATCCTTAGGGATTCCACTGATAGGAGAAACAAAAGTATCACAAGAATTTGCCTACACAAAACCCACAAAACAAGTGGGTAGCAGAATGACACTAAATACTACTGCTTCTCTTCTTGCCTTTCTTTCTGGCTGTGACTTCTAATGGGAGATTTGGAAAGTTACATACCTTTCAAAAGATAAGTGAATGTGTTTAGAAAGTCTTCATATGACTGCTCATGGCAGGATGCTGCTGTTCAACAGTTGTTCTCCCATCATCCACACCTTGACAGTCAAACAGGTTTATCTGCTTTAGTAGGCTGTTTCTGCAAAAGAAAGAAAAGAGTAGCATGCATCTGCAGGCAGAAAACAACTTAAGAGTACCTAACTCAAATAGGTGAGCACCAGAATGTCCACTTTTTATCCTCTCCTTTGAAGTTCTGATCTTGCTAACATTTCCCCCAAAATTCAAGTGAACATAGTAATTTTAAACACAAAGGGAGAGACTGATGCCTGAAATTTCTGTCCTTGGGAAGTATGAGCCACAGAAGTGCCAAACTCTCCTGGTAGTGCTCACTCCCTCTCATTTTCACAGTCATAGAATCACACAATAGTTTGGGTTGGAAGGGAACTTTTAGCTCATCTAGTTCCAATGACCTGCTGCAGGCAGGGACACTTCCCACCAGACCAGGTTGCTCAAAGCCCCATCCAACCTGGCATTGTTTAGTCTTACAACAGCTGCCTTCTTTGCAGAAACTGTGCCAACAGTCACTTGCACGATGGATTTCACAACAGTGACACCCGTACATTCAAAACTTGGACTGGATCCATCATTTTGCAGGTGCACTTCTCTGCACCATCAAAGCCACTAAACCCAGATTTTGGAGGACATGTTAAATCATGATGACACATGTGTATGGTGAAACAGTACACAGAATAGGAAGGGTAGGATGGGACTGGGCAGCCACATAGGAAGGCAACAGACATTCTCAAGAGAGGAACAAATGCTGAGAGCTGAAGGAATCCCATAGAAGCTTCTCTGGACTTGAAAGCTCCACTGTCCATGTCACACAGCAGTTTTCTAGCCTAACCCCATCACTTTACCAGACTCTAAGAGAAACAATTAATGGTCCTGACATGGCCCTCAGTAAAATGAGCTAAAATTAACTTGCCCCTCACTTATAAAAGCTGTGTAAATAATAGAATCACAGAATGGTTTGATTTGGAAGGGACCTTAAAACTCACCCAGTTCCAATGCCCTGCCAGAGGCAGGGACACCTTCCACTAGACCAGCATGCCCCAAGCCCCATCTAACCTAGCCTTGAACACTGCCAGGGATGGGGCAGACACAGCTTCTCTGGGAAGCCTGTGTCAGTGCCTCAACACCCTCACAGGGAAGAACTTCTGCCTAAGAGCTCATCTTGATACCCCCTCTGTCATGTTAAAGCCATTCTTCTTTGTCCTGGCCCTACAGGCCTCTCTCCTGGTTTCCTGTGGCCCCTTTAGGCACTGGAAGCTGCTTTAAGGTCTCCCCTTAAGGAGCCTTCTCTTCTGCAGGCTGAACAAGCTCAGCTCTCTCAGCCTAGCTCCAGAGCAGAGCTGCTCCAGCCCTCACAGCATCTCCATGGCCTCCTCTGGACTTGCTCCAACAGCTCTACATCCCTCTTGTGTTGTTGCCCCAGAGCTGGATGCAGGGCTGCAGCAGACGTCTCCTCAGAGCACAGCACAGGTGAAGAATCCCCTCCCTCAACCTGCTGGTCACGCTCTGGGGATGCAGCCCAGAACATAGGGGGGTTCAAGCGCTCACTGCTGGGGCATGGAGAGCTTCTTGTTACCCAACACCTCTAAGTCCTTCTCAGCAGGGCTGCTCTCAATTCAGTCTCTGTGCAACCTGTATTTGTGCTTCAGATTGCCCCAAATAGTTAATAATATTACTAAGTTTATATACATTGGACCAGACTACTAGAAGCAGAAAAACACAGGTGAGAGACACATATAGCTGGCATATTTGACAACTTAATAAAAAAAATTTGAATGACCATTTTGCGCATCTAGCAAAGATGCAAGAATGCATTATACACTATATATCTGATTTTCATATGTTCCTGTGCTGCTTCTCAATTTACCACAGCATTAAGAAGTGGAGTTTGGGAATGAAAACTTAATTTTTCAGCAAAACTACAAATCAAGAAAAGCTGTCAACCTGATTTTAAAGTTAAGTAAGTTCAAACAAGAATTGTTCAGAGCCCAGCAGGAAAATAAAGTGTGATTTCTAATGTAGAACTCTAATGTCATTGGATTGCCAGCTTGTAAAGAAGACTACTGTTCTGAAGATATAAAAACACATGCACACCCACATGACCTAAACTTTAAGTCTTCCAGTGTTTTACAAAAAACCAAATCAGTATTAACCTCTTGGTGAACTGACCAAACAGAATGTCATTTACCAGATTCTCAGAGTGGCTTATGCAAATGGCAGTGGTTTTAGAAGGAAGCAGGGCCTTCTATTCCTTATTATTGTTCAGTTATTACAGTCTCGATTTGTGGTAAATTTCATTATATGAAGGACAGCAGTGATTTTTAAGGCTAGTGTCAAGGGGAAAAAAAATCATATATTAAATCAAGAAAATGATAATATAACCTTTTCTTCTTCTTTGGCTTCTGGTGCCTAGGCTCTCCAAGTCCTCTATAAACACTAATGAAATAAACTTCACAATAAACACATGAGGAACAGCAAACAAATATTATTCCAAATAACAAATGAAAAAACTGAGTTACCAGGAGTTTAAAAGACTTCAAAGCAAATTAGAGGAGGGCTGGCAGTAAAGCTTAGATTTCTTGACTCCAAAATGCTCCAGGAAGCTAGAAAATCATCAGCCTGAGATTAAGCAAAATCTCAGGTGTTACTAAAATGCTGTAGCTCAATTCTTACTCTGCTGTGCAGCCTCTGCTTCCTACGTAACAATGTCATTCTGGCATCTACACTCCATTGCTTTTTATAAGAACTTCATGGCTCTGCTTCAAAAATCTAAAGCAGGAAATAGAATGCCAAATGGATTAGAGAGGTGCTAGTCCAACACAGCCCTGAAATCTTCTTTTCACAGCTGTTATTGACATCTACAGACTCATCTCCTCACGGAAAGGAAAAACAGCCAGGTTCTAATGAAAGCCTAGGTTCTGTCAGAAGAACAGCATTTACTCAGAGACTGGCAGCTGGAACTACTTGTGTTCCCCCTGTTTTCAATTATTTTGAAGAACTGCAGGGTGCTGCTGCATCCTTTTAAATGAAAGCAAGCACAGAGAAAGGTATTTGGAGAACACCTACTATCCCTGAAACTGAACATACGCTTCAGGTAGGATAGATGGCATTAGGATGCAAGGCATTTGACACTGACCCGCACAAGATCCTTGTCTCTGAACTGGAGAGGCATGGATCTGACAGATGGACCACCTGGTGATACTCAAAAGAGATGCGGTCAGCGGCTTGATGTCCAAGTAGAGACCAGCAAAAAGTGGTGTTCCTCAGGCGTTGGTGTTGGGACCAGCACGATTCAACATCTTTGTTGGTGACATGGGCAACGGGGTTGAGTGCACTCTCAGCAAGTTTGCCAGTGACACTAAGCTTTGTGGTGCAGTCAACACGCTAGAGAGAAGGCATGGGATCAAGAAGGACCTGGACAAGGTGGAGAAGTGGCACCATGTGAACCTCAGGAAGTTCAACAAGGCCAAGTGCAAGGTCCTACGCTTGGGTCAGGGCAATCCCAAGCACAAATACAGGCTTGGGGAGACTGGATGGAGCAGCCCTGAGTAGAAGACTTGGGGGTGTTGGGTGATGAGAAGCTCCCCATGACCCAGCAGTGTGCACTTGAGCCCAGAAACCCCCCTGTGTGCTGGGCTGCATTCTCAGAGCATGAGCAGCAGCTCAAGGGAGGGGATTCTCTAGTTTGCAAAGCACCTCTGCTATGGAGACAGGCTGAGAAAACTGGGCTTGTTCAGCCTGAAGAAGACTGCAGGGAGACCTTAGAGCAGCTTCCACTGCCTAAAGGGGCCTACAAGAAATTTGGACAGGGACTTTTGACAAAGGTGTGTAGGGACAGGACAAGGGGGAATGGCTTTAATGTGACAGAGGTACGACTTTAGGCAGTTCTTCCCTGTGAGGGTGGCGAGGCACTGGTACTGGTTGCCCAAGAGAAGCTGTGGCTGCCCCATCCTGTCAGTTTTCAAGGCCAGGTTGGACAGGGGATGGAGCAAGCTGGTCTAGTGGAAGGTGTCCCTGCCTATGGCAAAGGGCTGGAGCTACATGAGCTTTAACATCCCTTCCAACCCAAACCATTCTATGGTTCTATTACTCAATGATTCATGGCACAACAGAGGTGTTCAGAAACTTATCAAAACCTATCAAGGTTTTTGAGTTTTTCCTTTTTACTCCACTTTGGTTTTCTGCTGTTTGCCACCTATTTTATTCCTGAGTATCTCTTAAATGAACACCATACTTAGGTAAGCTTCAGAGAAGTCTGGTGATGTGAACAGCTGAAGCCAGGCTGACCAGAAGACTCTTATGTTTGCTAAAGATCTAACTGGTAGATTCTACATTCAGTAAAAGGTTTCAGCAACCATCTAATTCCCAGCCTCAAGGCAACGACTTCCTTGAACTGTCATGAGGAAAAATAAATTTAAAAAAAGTACAATAATTGATTGGAATCACAGTTTATGAACTGAAAAACATCACATCTCTATGAATGCAAGGACTGCACTGCTCTGTTAGAGAGTAACTAATCCTGACACCAAAACTCATCTTCTTTTTCCCAAAAGGCATCAAACTAACTTGGAGGTTTCAAAAAACGCAAGTTAGGCAAGGGTATCCCATGCTCGCTCTGAATGGTTGCAGAGTCAAATATCAGTATGTGATGCATTCAAGTAACAACTGTACTTTCTTTCTGCATCTCTTGCTTTTCCATCCAAAATACCATAATAAGGTTTCTTGAGGTGATCATTCACTAAGCCTTGGTGATCATGAGCAGACTGTAAAAAATCAGTTTTATTTCTCCGAATACAGTCTTCTTCCCAGCAGTTTAAGGCAAAGCAGAAATCCCTGCCTTGAATCACAGATGCAGGTCAAGTGAGTATCAGCATGATTTCAATTATACAGTTATTAGTACTATTAAAGAATAAAAAATGTGGTGGAATATAGGCTTCCTGTTTTACGCTGCATTTTTGAGGACTTTATTTTAGTTACTTTAAATATAATATAGGCAGTGAAAGAAAAATCAAGATTATGAATTTTAAATGGAAAGAGC